TAGATAGATAGATAGATAGATAGATAGATAGATAGATAGATAGATAGATAGATAGATAGATAGATAGATAGATAGATAGATAGATAGATATTTGTTGTTGTGAAACATGTTTATTGTTAAACTGAAATCCTCAGCATGAAGAGCAGCTCTCTGCTACCATCTGCTGGATTTTAAAAACAGCACGAGACTCAGGTCACGTGTTACTGAACGCCACCTGTCAATCAAACTGGATTTATGGACCATAGATGGTGGGCTGAGGTTCTCATTCAGATTCCAAATTATTTCTTTTCATTAAAACCAAAAGCACATTTGAGAAAACTACAAATATAAAAAATGTAAATATATAATATATACAACAGTGTCACTGCAGTGAAAAATAAGTATTTTAAAATTTAATCAAACATCACAGTTTTTTTAAACTAATTGTTTTACAAACGGAACAAGCAGTTTACTGTTTTAATGATTTATCTCAGTTAGTTTGCTGCTCTCTGCTGGTGGAAACTCTTCTAACAACAGAGTCTTTACATTGGAAAAAGAGAAAATAAAGTTTTAAAATGTCCTGGTTCTGTTTGGCCCGGCTCAGTTGGAGCAGATGTTGAAAAGTGATGCTGAATAACTCAGGTTCTGCTTGTTCTTCTGGGTGGACCACGTGTTTCAGCTGATATCAGACCTGACCTTTGGCTCAGAGTTGAAACAGCTGTTTATGCTCACTTTCTTATTCCAGGTCAAATCAATGAGCTGCTCTTGGGTTTATTAACCTTTTTCTCTTTAAAATAAGAGAAACACCTGAAACTAACACCATGAAAACCTACAAACACCTGAGCAGAGAGTGAAGCAGCAGCAGGAGGCACATCTGTAACATTAAGACATACTGTAAACCAGAGCTGTAAAGTATCTAAGTAAAAATACTTTATTTCTGTAGTTAAGTAGAAATTTTGGTTATCTGTACTTTACTTGAGTAATTTTTTTCAGCCAACTTTTTACTTTTACCCCTAACATTTTTACACAATTACAGTATCTGTACTTTCTACTCCCTATATATATTTTAAAAAGGTAAGAAGTAGAAAGTCATTACTCCTATTTTATTCTGGATCCTTATTAATTAATCTTTCCAGATAAACTGTGCCTTTGAATTTAGTTGTGGTTAGATGAGAAGTATAAATATCATTCTGACACATTGTACACAATCCATGACAGCTGTACTCCTTTAAAAATGTATTTAGAAAATCTAACCTGTCATTTTTACTCAATACTTTTACTTTTAATACTTAAGTACATTTCATGTCAGAAATTTACTTTTGACGCTTGAGTAGAAAATAAATCTGATACTTTAGGACTTTTACTCAAGTAATATTCTTAGATGAGACTTTAACTTTTACCAAAGTAATTTTATGATAAGATGCTTGTACTCAAGTATCACTTTGTGGTACTTTATACAATACTGCTGTAAACACGTTGGATTTATTCTGAATTTACCAGGTAAACCTGGAGAAATATGACCTGATAAAAATAACTGAGTATCATCAGCGTAACAATTAATATTTATAACTTCATCTAATGGAAACACATATAAAATAAAGATGATTGGTCCAAGAACTCGACCCTGAGGAACTCCATGAAGATTGATTATTAACACAAACATGATATAATTTAAAGTATTTTAGGGTCGTTATGTGATCCCACCAACACAGCTTCCCACTCTGAGAAGAATGTCGGCTTGATTGAATCATATATCCGAGTCACACAGACTCTGCTCCTCTGAATGATGCTCAAACACATTCCTCCAGCTGTCCAAACACTCTGAACCCTGACCAAAGCATGACTCAGCAAAACTAAACTAAAAAAAAGACGGGGCAGTGAACCCAGACAGGTTACTCTGATGGGCCCGATCAGAACCTTTCACACAGCTGCCTTTCCTAACAGAGACACCACAGTGTGTGTGTGTGTGTGTGTGTGTGTGTGTGTGTGTGTGTGTGTGTGTGTGTGTGTGTGTGTGTGTGTGCGGGGGTCCGACCTCCGAATCACAAACACAGACGGCTTAATGGACTGTCTGCTGATTCGCCCATCAGCCCTTTAATTGACCTGAGTGTGTGTGTGTGTGTGTGTGTGTGTGTGTGTGTGTGTGTGTGTGTGTGT